TGGGACACATGTGGGAGGCAACCGATCAATGTTTCTCTCACATTGATGTTTCTCTCTCTCTCTCTCTCTCTCCATCTCTCTTCCTCTCGCTCTCAAATCAGTAAACATATCCTCAAGTGAGGATTCAAAAAAGAGTTCAGGGGAGGCAATTAGAATAGGGGAACATCTTTCTAAATTATAGAGCTTTTTCCCAATTAGCTTGAAAAAAAAGTCTTCAGATAAACCTACAAAGCTAGAGAGAAAATTATTATAAAAGGTTAGTTAGATGAATGGCCTTCCTTGAATTCTCTATCATAAGTGCATTTCTTAGATTAGGCTAACAAGGTTTCTGGGACCCTCTCTTCTCAGGAAACTTAAGTGCCTCACTGAGCCAAGCTGACCTAGGTCAGCTCACTCGCCACCAAGAAGAACACATCACCCTGGGTTCTGGACTCAAACCCTCAGTCATTCCAAAGGCCTAAAGGTCACATACCATTCACAAACTATTTGCAGCAGAATATGCTTGTGTCTGAGATGCAGTGATTTTTGCCACCAAGAGATTATGAAATGAGAAAATAAACCCAGTAGTAGTTTAATGTGAGGCCTTGATTTTTAAAAAAATATATTTTTTATTGATTTTTTACAGAGAGGGAGGGAGAGAGATAGAGAGTTAGAAACATTGATGAGAGAGAAACATCGATCAGCTGCCTCCTGCACATCTCCCACTGGGGATGTGCCCGCAACCCAGGTACATGCCCCTGACCGGAATCGAACCTGGGACCCTTCAGTCCGCAAGCCGACGCTCCATCCGCCGAGCCAAACCGGTTTTGGCCCTTGATTTTTTTTAAAAGTTTTTCTCTTCTTCTGAACACAGCCTGTCTGGTATGACTATGTCTGAGGTGTAGGCACATTCAGCAGAGAAACCCGGGTCCAGAGGTCTCAAAGGGACCTTAGAGGATGTTTAACCCCACTTCCTTACTTTACATGTGAGAGAAGAGGCCAGAGAAGGGAAGTGATATTCCCAAGGTCATATGGGGGAATGAAGCACAAAAGGAATGAGGAATGGAGAAGGAGCTATGTTACAATAATTGGGTTGTTTTAGTAGAAGTCTGCAAGTCCTTCCTTCTATGAACTTAATCTATACAAAATATCATATCACAACAATGCTCACAGCAACATTATTCACCATTGAAAGATGGAAACAAGCCAAATCTTCATCAAAAGATAGATGACTAAACAAAATATGGTATATACACACAATGGAACATTATTCAGCCATAAAAAGGAATGAAATTCTGACACATGCTGCAACAGGAATGAACCATGAAAACATTATGCTAAGTGAAATAAGCATGTCACAAAGGGACAAATATTGCATGATATATACGTGTATATATGTAATTATACATGGTATTTAGAATAGGCAACTTCATGGAGACAGAAAATAGAATAGAGATTACCAGGGCTGAGGGGGACAGGGGAATGGGGAGTTACAGTATAATGAGTATAGGATTTCCGGTTGGGATAATAAAAAAGTTTGGGAAATGAATAGCGATAATTATTGTTCAAACATTGTGCATGTACTTAGTACTATTGAATTGTATACTTTAAAATGGCTAAAACTGTAAATTTTATATTTATTTTATCGCAATAAAAATCATATCAAAATCTGGATTATATCCTTTTCATTCTCAACTGTTATTTATTCATTGCTATTAAAACCCAAATTTCTTCTCAAGACCTGCGTACTATGGTCATCTATGTATGCTTGCACATGTAGACAAACAGAATCACACCCAGGTCACTTTGTGTCCTGCAGAGACCCATCCACAAACAGGTATCCATCCTGAGACCACCTACATGGTGACTCCAACAATAAAGCCCATGGCAAGACTAACGCAACCAGTGTTTCTAGAGACCCTGGCAACCAAACAACGTGACTGAGTCCCAGCTCAACCCTTAAATTCCTCACCATGTTGGTGGTGGTGGTGGTGGTGGTGGGGGTATATATTTAGTTTATGTGTATTCTCTCTGTAAAGAAAACTGTGTGCATATACCAAGAAATCCTTCAGGAATAGTTAACCCAAATCTGCTCCACCAGGCCCATGAACAAAGAGATTTCAGTCCATACATGGCTGTTGGGTGCACTCAGCAATTGCATGTTACACCGAACAGCGGTGTCTTTAATGTAAATGCATATAATTGGGAGCTAAGTCTTTGTACCTTTACAGGACAAAGGATATAATGAGCAGAATGTGCCACTTGTGAATTCTGAGGAAAGGAGAGCCTTTCATTTTTCCTTAAAAGAATCCATTTCTCACGAGGCAAAGAGAATCTGAGAGCAAGTCTTTTGAAATAGAAGCAGGGAGGAGGGTGCAGAATGTGAGTTTTGTGTTACAGTCATAATCGATCACTAGGCCCAAGAGGTGCCCATTCTGTGCCATACCGTCATGTTTACTCAACTTTAATTTAAAGGTTTTCACAACCTCATCTTCCTCCATGGTTACCTTTCCATTGCCAGAGGTCTGGCAACTGAGTCCATTAGCTTTTAAAGATTTCAAGAGTTTCCAAAGAAAAACAATCTCTAGTGATACTTCCCATTGCCAACACTCATGAACATTTAGCACAAATAAGCTGCCACGTGTGAGCTGTCCACTTGACTTCATTCCCTTGCGCATCCTAAGGATATGTCAAGATCACAGTAAGATATTTAGAAGCAACATCTTTAGAATAAGGTTTCATTCCCAATCAAAGTGCTTAATTAGCAGAACCACTATGCTAGAGAACTGTCCTTGAATATGCATGCATTTTAACCTCCATGTTATTTTTTCCGAAGCACACATTTTCCTCTCACTGGATGGCCAGGAAATGATTAGGCGCAGAAAACCAACTGTCATAGGTGTCGACCCACAAAATAAGTGCCATCTTTCCAAGCAGGTTTTGGCTGCCTTCGAGGATGCTATCCCGGTATATGAGGGAGACCATTCTTTGGAATCTAATGGCCTTATCTCCATTCATTTGGGATGAGCAACGCTCCTGTGGCCTAGTTACGGCTAAACTCTTTCAACACTTCCCACCAACCCCTTCTGGCCCCTCGAGCCATCCTCTCACCCCCAATTTCAGCCAACCATGTTTATAAGACATCAGTTAGTAAATCACAATTCAAATGACCCCACCCATTTGTTCAGCAGAAAGTGGCCTCTGGATTTGCTCCACGTGGACCCATAGGCCAGAGTTACATGTGGCAGGCTTGCAAACATGAACAGGCCATGATTTATTTATGACGACCCTGTGTGCGTGATGCCCAGTTCCAGCAGGTTGTGGCTTCACTTGCCTGCCTCAGTCTAGGTTAACCTCTCTACTCACTGTGTCCCATTTCGGGTACTACCTTTCCAGGCTGGGGAAACAGAGAGGGGCAACTGGCCAGGGGGCGGCACACACCGATGCCCCTAACCCTGCTGGCCACATAACGATCTGTGACCAAACACAAGGTGGGCAAATGTACCTTGCTACAAAGGTTCGCATGTCCAATGGTTTTCCGTGGAGAGTGGAGAAGTAGCGGCTGGAATACCTGACCATGTGAGGTTCATGAAACTGTTGTGTATTTACCCACAAGAAAGCCTGGGATGCTTGTGAGGGAAGCCCCGCTCCTCATTTCACAGATTTTGACACACACACACACACCCCCACCCCACCACCACCACCTTTGGCCATGATGCTGCAAATGCGAAGGGCAAATAGGCATCAGCAGGTCCAAACGTGGACTCCAACTGAAGTGCAGTAAACTTCTGCCTCCACAGTCTCCCCCTCCTTACCCCCCAGTTGTATTTATACTTTGGAAGAAGTTAACGCGAAGCAGCAGACACCTGGGCGTGCTCAATTTTTGACAAGCCTTAGTCACTCTGTAACCAGCAGAACAATTCACAATATAGTCGAAAATCCTGTGAAGATCTCTGCCACACATGCTAACACTAAAATGCCAGTAGCTCCACTTACCTTCTTTATTAAGCCTCATAACCTCCCTGCTTTTTCCACCCTCTTTTCCAGCCTCTTCTAAATCTACATCTGCAGATGAAAAAGAAAAAGAAAAAAAGAAAATAAGGGAAAAGGGCGAAAAAAAGGGGGGGAAAAGCCAAAGTCAAGGGGGGCAGGGAGAGTGTTTATTTGCAAACAGATGGATATAAATACTGTATATGAAAATCTTTCCAAAATTGACAATGCGACGTTTTCTCCCAAGTCCGGATTTCCATCTACCTGGCCCAGATAGGTACCAAAAAAACTATGCAGGCAGCAACAGAGTAGCCTTTTAAACAGATACACCATGGGGCGGTGAAAGCCCACCCCGCGGGCTGCCACGGGGAGCCGGGCACAGACAGACAGACAGACAGCCCTGGCAGCAGGGCCTCTCTCTGTGCACTGATGATCTGTCTCTGTGTGTATTTATTTAGAGAGAGAGGGAGAAGCATGGAGGACACCGGGGGCCACTCTCTCTCTCACACACACACTTTTTCCCAGTGGCTCTAGGTGAATGGAAAGGTTACAGGATAATAAAAGGAGGAGGAGGCGGTGGGGTTCTTACTGTCGGAGCAGTGTAATTTGGCGGCGTCGATCCAGGAGGACCAGGGTTTGCCCAGAAACGCCTCCGGACTGGGCACTTTGCGATCCAGTGTCGCCATTGCTCTTCCTTCTTGTTGCTTTTTCCCTGTTCCTTCGGCAGCAGCAGCCGAGAGACACGGGATTCGAGAACGCTCCGACGTCATCTTCGGAACGTTCC